AAGGAGGGAAAAAGGGAGGGAAAAAGGGAGGGAGGGAAGGAGGGAAGAAGGGGGGAGGGAAGGGGGGAGGGAGGGAACTAGCCTAATTAGGAACAGCTAGAGAGGAAAAGAGAAGATTATGCTAATAATGAACAAGGCTTCCAGGCTTTTAAAGCTAGCCACAGTACTGTCTGTCACTAATTCACTTTACATATGCAGTCATATGTGGGTAGCCTCAACCACATGAAATGTAGCCAGAAATATGCTGGCAGTATGATAGAAGAAATGGCAGCACAGAACAAAATCATTAATTTATTTGAAAAAAAAATGCTTAGTAAGAAATGTACGCATTATCCTGCCCATGCAATTGTAACCCCTCTGTACAGTATGTTCACAAATAAAATAAAATTAAATAAAAAAAAAGTTTTCTCTTTTAAGCTTCTGTTCCTTTTTTCTTTTAGCTCAGTATTGAAACTTAAACTCTTGGCCTCATGCTCTCTGTTGGCATTTTGCTCACCACTGGCATTCTACTACTTGAGCCAAGCTTTTACTTCTTTTTTTTTTTTCAGGTTAGAGATAAAAGCTGGCTTTGGACTGTAATCCTCAGATTTCAGCATCCTGGGTAGCTAAAATTACAGGTGTAAGCCACTGGCATCTGGCTCTCTGCTCCATTTTTAAAATACACACAGAAGTAAAATATAGAATATAAAAAAAATCTTTGAGAATGGCCAGGTGTGATGACTTACACCTGTGATCCCAGCACCTGAGAGAGGCTGAGGCAATAGGATCATGAGTTTGAGGCTCCCTTACCTGACTGGTGAGACCTTGTTTCAAAAAACAAATCAAGATAGGTGCTGGTGGCTTACACCTGTAATCCTAGCTACTCAGGAGGCTAAGATCTGAGGATTGAGGTTCAAAGCCAGCCCTGGCAGGCAAGTCCACGAGACTCATCTCTAATAAACCACTCAGAAAACTGGAAGTGGTCCTGTGGCTCAAGTGGTACAGCGCTAGCCTTGAGCTGAGCTGAGGTACAGTGCCCAGGCCCAGAGTTCAAGCCCCATGACCGACTAAAATAAATAAATAAAACACAAAAAGCAAAAGCAAACAAAAACCTTTAATAAAACATTACCTCAGATTTGACTGTGCCAAAATGATGAGGGAGGGGCAACAAAGAAAGCAGGATATTAATGGAGGATCTTCTCAATTCAGTTGGATTTATATAGCTTTTGAATTTTGAGAGTTCTCTGCCAAGAAACAAAAAGCTATTAGTATTTTAAGCTAAAGTACATTTTTAGCTATTGCTAAATATATACTAAACCAATTTTTCACAATCCAAGCTGTGTGTGTGTGTGTACTTCTACATTATACTGTTACTGATAAACTACAATCTGGCTGTCTTATTTAAAATTTAAGACCTACTCTACAAAGGTAGACTTTGGGCTGGATTTGCTTTGACCTTCTACACAAAGCCCAAAAGGATTCATAAACCCATGAATAAATGAAAAGATTCCGAGATGGGATAGGTTTGGGTATTCTCTACTCAATCTAATAAATGTGGCTTGAGTCTCTTGGGACAATGAAGACAATTGGACAGGATAAATTAGAAAACAGGAAGAGGCACCAAAACAGACCAGGCCAAAACGGATAATTGACATGGTAGTAGAGAATGACAGCTTACCTGTCAGGCAAAATGGTTTCAAGAGCTGAAATAAAGTAAGGAACCACAACATCAATCCCTTTCAAGTCACAGCAGAACAAAGGAGGGGAGTTTAGAATAACGCTGGCCAAGACAGGATGGCATACATAATCATTTATCTGCAAACCTTGAATTAAAAGCATGTAAAATCTAGGAAAGCAAGAAAAAAAATTTAAACAAACTGCTGGTGAAAAGTTTTCAGAAACATTATTTTCTACAGTCATCTACAAGTATTTCCACTCTTCACTATTCCTACCTTAAAAGGTACAGCTGAGATTCAAACTATTCACAATTACATACATCAAGAACTAATTTTTTTCTTCCTTTTTTTTAATTTTTAGTTTTGGTGCCAGTACTAGAGCTTGAAGTTTCCTGCTCTCATATGGCCTTCTTTCTCAAGGCCAACACTATCGCTTAAGCCATATCCCCAGTTCTAATTGTGTTTTTCTAACAAGGAAAAAAGGTTCATATCTATTAAGCTTCTTTTTTGGGTGGGGTTTACTGGAGCTTCACCTCACAGGGCCTCATGCTTGCTATGTTCTACCACTTGTGCTATGCCTCCAGCTCTATTATATCTTAAAAGTTTTAAGCCTTTACAAACTCCAAATTATAGGTGCCTCTAGTGCTTATCAAGAAACTGAAAAATGAATTAACTGGATCAAATTCCACAGCAGTAAAAATGTGCAGCATTTGCAATTCCTAGAAAATAAAAATGTTTTTTGTATCTTTTTTCTTTCCTTTATTGTTTCTCGGATGATAGTGAAAGAAAGCAACCTCTTTAAGCCCAGTATTTATCACCATACGAAGGTCACTCTGAATAAAAGTCCCCTTAGGAATATGAATAAATGCATCTTATTTTTACAACCACCCCCTGCCCTAATCAACTTACTAACCATTCTATCTCCTGTCATTCAAGAGCAACAATAATGGCATATTCATCTACCACTGTAAGCAGGCACTTTTCTCAACCTAAAAAACTTGGAAAAAAAATTTACTTACTAGTGACTACCCAACCAATGACAATCTATCTTCTCTCCCTAGAATTTAATGAAAACATACAAACAATTGCCAGTCCAGGAGGAATGTCTAACTCTTTCCTTACTCAGTTATAAGAATCCATCCCTTTGATCAGTTCCTTCTCTCCATATTCTCTTCTGGCTTCTACAAGTATTTCCTTTAATAGATTCTTATATTCCTCAGAATGCCACTTCCAATGTCTAAGCTCTCTTCTACTAGACATGATTTTATACATTTCTTAAGCCACTGAATAGAATGGAGGACATTTTAGCTCACACCCCTCAACTGAGCTCTCATCTCTTAGCCAACAGGGCATGTTATTATTTCCTATAGTGTTCCTGTGCATAATACCTAGTAAAACGTAGACAGTTACAGATAAATATCCCTTAGGCACTTCAAATTCAACATACTCATCATCTTCCCTCTCACAAACCTGTCTTTCTTTCAGTTTGTCATCCAGTCTTATGGATCAGACAAAAAGCTCATTAAAGCTATATAAATAAAGCTGGTTAAAACTATATAAATGGAAAAATAAACAAAAAAATTCTAAGACCTGGATAAATAAGCTGGCAGAATCTCTTCTCCAGTCTTCTTGCTACAAAAAATCCTACACAGTGTCCCACAAGCCTCAGCTCTTCCTGCTTCATAGTTATCAGGAAATTCACTGGCATCAAACATAGGATTGGAAACCATGGTGTCTGTGGACATTTGTGACCCTTTCCGCCGAAACTCCATGCTAGCTTGTGTTGTAATGGCTGGGGAGAGAAAAGGAGGGTTTTATTATATTTGTCAATATGCCAAATAGGCTCATGGGACCCTGGACACAAAGATCAAATATTGGTGTCATTAAGTAGCTACTTGAATAGAATCCAATAATTTGGCAACTATGTCTTAATTTTTTTAAAGGGCTCTCTGAAATCTTCTTTGAAAATGATTAACAATTTACAGTGGCACTGTCAGTTTAACAGATTTTACAAGAAGCATTTTCAAACTGAATTTTTGATCAGAAGAGTACATTTGTATATATCTGTACTTGTATACAGATACATAACATAGAATTTGACTTTTTCTATTATTTCTTCCATCCCTAGAATTATGCTTAAACATTAAGAAATGCAGCTATAATCTACACATTAACTCAGATGGACATTGTAATTAAGTGGGCAATCCCATGCCAGTAAACTTTAGGGAGAAGGTAAGGTAAGGTAAGGAGGGAGACAGCATTCCCATCACCCACCCTCCTCCCCAACTCCACAACACACACCAAAAAATTGCCCAACCAAGCAAAATGAAAATGAATTTTAACAACCACAGACAGCAGCTAACTTGAGGTTGATAAATCAGCAAATTGGACTGGTAAGAAAGATAATTATGGCCATTCGTTGTCTCTGAAACAGAAGCCCTTTACAAGTTGCTTTTACTTTTAACAAAAGATTTCACAGTATATTGGAAATCACTCTGAAATCTTTTATTACTCTACATAAAATGCTTAAATTGTTTCATAATAATAGGCTTAATAGAATGCAGAGTCACGCATAAATCTTTATGCAACTTCCCATGAGCCATTTTTCGTCCTGAATAAGCTATCCAGCAATAATACATTTGAAAAACATTACATGCAGAATGCATACAAATCAAACACTAAATCTGTATAAATATAAGCTTAAATTAAGCTTAAAAAAAAAAAGAAAGAAAAGAAAGAAAGCCAAAACACAGTTAGTGCAAAGTCCTGGAATTCATGACATGACCAGACTAGTGTACAGAAATAATGGGACTGATTCAGGCAGATTAATTTGCTTTTGCCAACAATCTTCCCCATTCAAAACACAGAAAAGTATTTTTCTTCCCAAATGCAAAAACTACAAGAGACAATGACAATCAATTATTTTAATGGAATTATGAAAAAAATAAAAACATGACTGCAATTAAGGAGAAGCTTCTGGTTCCTACTTACAAGATTTATAAGAAAGAAGAATTTGGATAAAAGATGCTGCAAGATAATAGAAATAAATGGAAACAAATCAAAGGACAGCAGTAATTATAAAATACTTTAAAGATGGTGAAATTGTACAATAAGTTAAGAAGCTTTATAGCTTTTTATAAGTTAGATTTCAAGCTTTACGATACCACAAGCTAGTTCAAAAACATAGGAAATTGTGCATTCAGGTCCAAAATTATGATTTTTGTTCATGCAAAACAATGAATGAAGAAAATTACACAGTACAAAGAACTGAGGTTTTGAACTGCCCATAACGTGCATTAAGATTTTTAGTTCATTAACCCTTCCCAGCTCAATGTTACTTTTATAAATTACAGTGTGCTGTCATGTAAATAAAAAACTAACCAGTTCAAAGAAGCAAGCACTTTAAATTACAGGTGAGCTACAGGCAGAATTCCTTGATGGCAGCCAGTACTTTAAAAAGTTAATATCTCCAATCCTCCCAACAACCCTCAAGACCTGGAGACTGGCACCCAAAAGCATACTATAACCCCAGTGACTATTTGGACATCTTCAATCTCCTGGGTGATGTAACAGCCTTAAGCATCTCTAAATATAACGAGAGGATGAAGAGCTTCTGTTCTTTCTACACCAGGAAGACAGTTGTGAAAGGATGTTACTCACATATGACTTAAATTCTGGTTTCTTTCTATCTTCTGGTGCAAGAGGGTAAGCAAAGCTGTTACAAACACCCTAGAGATGGAAAGCTCTAAGTTCCCATTAAACAAACCCACTATCAAAGCAATAGGCTGAGCCATGCTAGATTCAGGAACTTCAGTATCAACAGCTTCATACCCAAAAGTTACACTGTAGAATTACATCTTAACAAAAATCAAAAATAAAAATATAACTGACTCATTCTAAAGAACACCATACAAATTAACAAACATGGTTCAGAAAACCCAAAATATAACAGTATGTGAACGTAAAGAAAATATAACCCAAAAATGGTTTTTAAATTTTTTTCACTCAACATCCTAAGTACATTTACTTAGTCTTAAGTAAGCACTGATTTCACACTTGTAAATTATATTATTTGAAATGGTAGAAAAGTGTCTAAATTTGAACAAAATAAACTAAGCAAAGGAATCCTTAAGCCCCTAAACTCACTCATAAAATCTCGTTATATTCCTGGACGTCTATACATTTCTAACTTTCCTTAAAGTATTTTTAAGAGGTGTAAGATCCAAAATAATTATATGGACATAATATTTAGACATCAAGCCTCATTCTGAGGTGATGTGTAATCACTGTGATTGCAGCAACTCTTATGAATATTACATTAGCTTTATTTCTAGAATTAACGTTCTCCTAGAGATGCAAAATCTAATACAGACATCTTTTACCTCAATTTATTTTGAAGCTCAATGGAAAGTGTTTTCTTATCAACCAATATACTCATGAATATTAATGCACAATAATGGTACCTAGCATATAATAGCAATAGCTCAATAAATGCCAGCCACCATTATTATTAAACTGTGCAAGACCTATTATAAATATTCAAAACATTTAGCACCATCCTACCCTTCCATCCTAAACTTTATGCCACTACTTTCAAGTATAATGGTAAGATGACAAAAACAAACCTATTTTCACTTAATGTGACTACGACACTAAAATGTAAATGAAGAGATCATATTAGGTTGTTCATTCTCTACTAGTCTTATTAAGCCACAGAGCAAATGGTACTTTTAAAAGTGTGTCCCTAAAAATCTTTAGACTAAAACTTGAAAGGTCAGAATATACTGTGAAGTAGAAAATTTCTGATATTTATATGTACTAATGAGTGAAAGACTGACAAAAATCTAAGAGAACTTTTTTCTCAGTACATTTCCAGGCAAAATATTAAATTCTTAAGATAAATAACATTATCCTGGCTGACATGAAGGGAACTTCCAGGTCACCTACTAAAAGGAATTTGATTCAACAAAAGTGGCTACCCTGAAGTGTGCCTAATAGAACCAGACAAAAGGCCAAACTTCATAGAACATATAGAAAAAAGGACAGTCAGTAAAACTTCAAAAGTTTCTGTTACTTCAGCTGGAAGGGGTTAAGCACAAGAGACTGCTTGATCAGAAACAGAGCTTTTCAAGATACCTATTAATCTTGCAGGTAGGAAAGATTAAAAAGAAAAAAAAAGGAAAAGGAAAAAAATGATAGTGTATGTCTTGAGCAATATTTACCAGTCATGCTGCTGTCTCTGTTTATCCCATTATGAAGTTTACAGTGAACAAACGCTGCATCAAATAACCATGATCCAAAGAGATTCAAGATGCTGTTAACCTTTGGTCTCCGAGGGGCAGGCAGTGGCCGGGGTTCTGAACTAGTCTGATTTGGACTTGACAGAGGTGAGGTGGAAGAAGTCTGGTGCTGGACTTTCGAGGCATGAGCAGTATTAACCTATCAGAAGAACACGGACCCACGAAAAGTTTGAGAAAATGACAGGACTTTTAAATAAGTAAGGTGGATTAAAATGTCATTTTTATAAAACATAATGATGATGGTAAAAGTTCTTACTGTGCTTGTTTTCATGGTGGCCTTATTCACAGTAACAGCCCGGTGCCTCCGGTTATGTGGGGGAGTGGTATTGACTGCAGTGCTTTGAGGCATACTTAATCTATTTACGGGTGTTGGGGGAGCACTATCTGATCTGGGCCTAGAAATGCCTTGAAAAAAAAGAAAGGAAGAGTTATTCTTCACAGTTCAAAATAATGTGGTTAGAAATTCTTCAGCAACCAAAACACTTAGACTAAGAGACAGCTGCCTTCCAGTAGTACTCACCCATTCTCCCTGAGTAACAGAACACAAATTAGCTAAACAGCAATGTCAAGAATAAAGGACATCCCTTACAGCTAGATGTGGCCATGCCCTATCCATTCACAACTAGGTTGACTATAAGGTAGATCTCCCAAGAAATTTCCTAAAAAGGATAATCAGGACAGAACACTCGTCCTTCTAAACTACTGGACAAGACAGTCATAAAAATCATTTTATAAAAGTCATAAAATCATCATGGCCTGGTGCCAGTGGCTCACGCGTGTAATCCGAGCTACTCAGGAGGCTGAGATCTGAGAATCATGGTTCAAAGCCAGCCCAGTCAGGAAAGTCTGTGAGACTCTTATTTCCAATAAACCACTAGAAAACTGGAAGTAGCACTGTGGCTCAAGCAGTAGAGCACCTGCCTTGAGCTGAAGAGTGCAGGGACAGCACAGTACCCAGGCCCAGAGTTCAAGCCTCATGACCAACAAAAATAATAATAATAATAATTAATTAAAATAAAATAAAACCATCATGGCCCATCAGGGAGTGCACAAAGGAGAGAGGGATGGCAGCCAGAAGGGATGGCAGCTCTCTGATACCAAGTATAGCAGCCCTGTGCTGGCTGGCTCTCATTCCATGTGTGTGAAAATAAACTGTTTTGTAAGCCACAAAGTTTACAAAATTTGGTTGTTAATATGACAGCCAAAGTTAACTAAAACTAATACATTAACTGTGTAATATAGTAACATGTCCACATAACATTTTAGAAAATAGGGAAGTGACACTGTGGCTCAAAGTGAGAGTACTAGCCTTGAGCAAAAGAGCTCAGGGACAGTACCTAGGCCACGAGTTCAAGCCTTACAACCGACCCTTCCCTCACCCCTTCTAAATTAAACTTAGTATTACTGGGTTTTTAACAAGTTGAAAGTTATGAACTTTCATATATTCAAACTAAAAACCAGCTTAATACACTGCTTCACAAAAGGTATGATTTGCTTCTTAATAATATACATGAGAATGGCCCCTAGAGCATTTTAAACTGTATTTTCTTGGATAACTATGAAGAATAAAAACATTTTTGTTTTACAAATCATTTTCTGTGTATTACTTGCTTACTTATCTAGTAGGTTATTATCCTTTTTGTTAGCATTATTGTTTGATCTACTATAAAACAGACCTGTAGTAGCTATATATATATTTGAAACAACCCTCTAGTTATTAAACTTGTTGAAAATAACTTTTCCTAGTTTTGTTATTTGTCATCCAATCTGTCTGTCTTTTCCTTTGAGTTTCCATAATAGCCTCTAACATTAGACTCTAAAGTTATCTAAACATAGCTCTTCAAATGTTAGAATCTATATAAAATTCACCTAAAAATGCATCCACCAGACAGCTGATTCCACGCATGGCACGAAAAAATATTTGAGGCAGATGTTTAAGGCAGGGATACTGGTTCAATTCTTGTGGTATTCCACTCACATTCAAGAACTGTTCCTGAAATTTGGGAGTAGAGCTTATGATGGCTGGGTTACTCAAATCCACAGGATTACTATCAAAAAGGAAAGAAGAGTTCATTACATTAAAAAATGTCTATACCGAGAAAATAAATGCAATCCAATTCAAGAATAGGCTTTTAATGCCTATTTGATCTGGACAGAAGACTGTTCTATATTTCATGGGCTAGAGTCAACAGGAAAACTTCGTTATAGAACATCTGCATGTTTTTACAGGAACTTATTCTATTCACAAAATGGAAATCAAAGGAAGAACAGAGGGTTGACTTTTTTTAAGAGTCATAAACCTGTAACTCATGCCTATAATCCTAGATACTCAGGAGGCTAAAATCTGAGAATCTTGTTTGGAACTAGCCTGGGCAGACAAATGCAAAGGGCTCTTATCTCTAATTGACCTGAAGAAAACTGGAAGTGGAGGCCTGGCACAAGTAGAAGAGTGCTGGGGGGCTGGAGGGGAGGAGCTTATACAAAAGAAGTTCAACCAAAAAAAAAAAAAGTTCATCCAATGTCTATGAGAGTCCTATAACTAGTGTAGTTTAATTAACAAAATATATTTGACACTAGAGATGTAACAATAAAATCCCTCCCTATATAAGCCAACAAATTTAAACATTACTAAATAAAAATAAATGAGACCAATTTACCTCTTTTTAGAATCTGAACAAAAGGACAGCCCCAGCAACTACAAGAGCCAGAACTAAAGAAACACAGTATATATTTATCTGGCAGTAGCCGTTTATCCCACTGGGCTATTACCATGGGGTAGCATGTGCCTCTCCAAAACAGGAGAGACAAGGATCTAATAGTGAGCTGCCTGAGAAAGAGGATACATGTCTGTATAATAGAAGAAAAAAAGCTAAGAGAGAGATGAATGAGTGGCTCATGAGGACTGGTTGATAGTTCACTGCTTCTTAGAGGTAAATGAGAACTCCCTATTGACACAAAATAACCTCTTATTTTAGTATTAACCACCATTTGCCTAAGCAGGTTTTTTCTTTTTTTTGCGGGGGGTGGGTGGGTTGGGGGGGATGTCAAGTTGTGGGGCTTGAACTCAGGTCCAGCGTGGGCAGAAAAGTCCCCATGAGACTCTTATCTCCAATTAACCACTCAAACCAAGTGATACAGTGCTAACCTAGAGTACACAGGCTCAGAGACAGCGCCCAAGCTCTGAGTTCAAGCCCAAAGACTAGGGGAGAAAAAAAAAGTGCTTGTAGGAGACTATGAAATTTTAAATAAGACTACTGGAGGAGGATGGGAAAAAGCCAGCCTGAATAGTTAATGCTGGTCAGTGGAACAATAACTCCAGCCCTCACAGAAAGTAACCAAGTCCTGCAAAAGACACCACCAGCCAGGCTGCCACACCAGGCAATACAAAAGTGCTGCCCCTGTACCAGGGAACAAGTTCTAGAGAGTAACCAGGACAGCTGCTGGCACTAAACTGTGCTGACATGAAGAGGAGGAGGCCCATGCTGTAACTGTGTCTGCTGTCCAATTGAGCTCTGTGTGATAGGTTCTGCTTAGTATCCACATTCTGAACTTCAAGTAGAGAGGTACAGCACCTACCCAAAGACACAAGAAACAACAAAAGAACACTACCTTAACATATGTAAAAATCGAAACCATGTCTGTGCCACACACTCATTATCCATTTCTGGAGGGATCAGACTGGCATCTTCATCAGGAACTTTAAATGGAGGAAATGAGGGACCATATGTAAAACGTAGCAATCTAGAAAAACGAATGAATACCACTAAATCCATTTCTTAAAAAATGAAAAATATACTGAAATTATTATGAGAAATAAATGAAACATATACACCTGAAATAAACAAAACATAAAAGCCTTCATTACAAAACTGACAAACTGAAAGGATTGCCAGTTTTCAAAATACTTTTTAAACTTTTATTTATAATATTCAGATTACTTAAATAATTTATTATTAGTATTGCTTTTTAGGAAATAAATTATGTAGTTATTTTATAAAATATAGACACATTATTACAGTTATAGAACAACTGTGTGTTCTTTTGAAAAGATTCATCCTGGGCTGGGAAGGTGGCTCAGTGGTAGAGTGCTTGCCTTGCATGCCTGAGGCCCTGGGCTCAATTCCTCAGCACCACATAAGCAAAAAGAAAAAAGCCAGAAGTGGCACTGTGGCTCAAGTGGTAGAGCGCTGGCCTTGAGCTGAAGAGCTGAGGGACAGCGCCCAGGCCCAGAGTTCAGGCCCACGATCGGACCCCCCCCCAAAAAAAATCAAGGTGCACATAGCAAATGAACAGAAACAAAGTTCCAACAAGAAAGAGCCCAAGAAGGGGATGAACTGATGCCTTGCACTGCTCAGATATATCACACTAGCATAAGGAATGAGTGGCTGAGAGATGATGAATCAATCACTTGTGCCCTATCATCTCCACCAGACAGGAAATTCCTTTCCCGGGTTTCCTTCCTCTACAAAACATCCAAGATTCTTTCTAGAAAGTGGAGGTGTGGCTCCAGTGGTAGAGTGCCAGCCTTGAATGAGAACCAAGCTAGAGCATAAGACTTAGTTCAAGCATTAGTACCAGCACAAAAACAAAAACAAAAATGAAAACCCCAGGATTCTTCCTAGTTATTTCCCTGGACATTATACCTGGGTGACAACATAACACATTTATATAAATCTACAGAAAGTACACAGATGAATAAGCAATCAAGGAACCTGGAGCTAGAATACAAATTTAGTTTGTGTACACTGTGCTGTAACATACAAAGCAGGGCTACTGGTATACACTGTGAAGTTTCATAAATATGGAGGTTTTTAATGGCTCCCTACTGATTAGCTTATTACCATACTTCCAAATTAACACCTTTAAGATTCTGGGGATTTCACTTGGTGAACAATCTTATGTCACTATCAAATTTTCATAATTCACTCTGTTAACTACTATCAGGAATACTACCTACAGGCTTTAATTTGTGTTGTTTCCATATAGGCTCTATTCTAATACACTAAACAGCTACTGTTTCTATCCTCATCAACCATGTATAATTCACCGTATACTTCCCTACATTGGCAAAATTATTCCTGAAGGGAAAATAAGCCATATTCATGAGCCACAACCTTGATTTGACAACTGCCTTGATAAAATTTAAACCCCCAATGAGTCTGACACTCATTGAGTTTAAATGTGAACTGCATTCAAAACTCAGAAATACATGAGAAAAAAAAAAAAAACAAGCAAACCTTGAACAGTTGGGGGTGCCAGAAGAATGTCATTAATCTGCAGAAGAAATAAGAGCAAGACTTCCCAGGTCTCACGGGCCATGATAGATGACTCTCGGGCCAGTTTCTGAATAGCTCTCAGGACCTGTAAGCACAGTCGGATCTGACTGGAGCCCTGTTCCTGTCTGAAGAAGAGAGGCAGATATCATTGACAATCCAGGAAGTGATAGCAACAACTGAAGGAAAGGCAACCTTCTAACAGCACTCTAACACAGCATCAGCAGACAGGGCTGGGAATACCCTCTTCAATTTAAAACTACTTCTTCTAGCCAGGCGCCAGTGGCTCACACCTGTAATCCTAGCTACCAGGAGGCTGAGATCTGATGATTAGGGTTCAAAGCCAGCCTGGGCAAGAAAGTCATGAGACTCTTATCTGCAATTAACCACAAGAAAACTGGAAGTGGTGTTGTGGCTCAAGTGGTAGAGCTGAAGAGCCAAGGGAAAACGCCCAGGCCCAGAGTTCAAGACCCCCAACCGAAAAAAAAAAACAAAAAAAAAACAACCTACTTCTTCTCCATTATTCTCCTCAACACTCCTGGCAGCTCCACTACTGCTTCTGGCTTCTGTGAGAACTTCACTTCTGACAGGCAGAGGAATATCTATACTATTACATAAATTTCACCTTTGGACTTTCTAAGTGATTGAGTAGTCGCAGCCATTCCTACTGCTTACATAGAAATAGAAAGACCATTATATACACACACATACACACATAATTTATTTTAACATGCAGTCACAGTAGTGGCCCATAGCTCAAAGAAGTAGAGCACTAGTCTTAAGCAAAGTTCAGGGACAACGTCCAGGTCTTAAGTTCAAGCCCAGGATAGGCACACATGCATATATACACATGCAAAGGGTAAAGCGAAAGACAGAGGTCCAAGCCCTACTTCCTAAGGTAGACCACCTGAGAATTTTGAGAAGAGGAGGAGATCCACTGCATTAGTAAATAGTAGGTAGGCTGGTTTCTAGATCTCTTTGTGAAACCCAAAACAATATACTAAACTAAAATAAACTTTGAAGCAAAGGTTGAGAGCACTGACTCTCAGAGTATCTTTGAGAAATTCCAGAAAATGAAGGTTGTGTCCCTAAAATTCCCACCTTACAACAGAGGTTCCTACATTCTAGGCCATGACCCACAAGACTAGACACAGCCTGGAGTTACAATCAAAGGACATCAGAAATTTTCCATAAAGAAGTCAGACTTAAGGCTGAGGATATAATTCTACTATAAAGCACTTGCTTAAGATGCCTAAGGCCATGGATTAATTCCATGCATCACCAAAAATCAACAACAACAAGAAAATAAACCTAAAACCAGGATGCCTAAGGCCATGGATTAATTCCATGCATCACCAAAAATCAACAACAACAAGAAAATAAACCTAAAACCAAATGAGACAAACATCTTGGAAAAATGAAGAGCCCCCAAGAGTAGAGAAGTACTGCACACTCAGCAGAAGGTAAATCCAGCTCATGTAATGCCATGAAGCTATAATCTGTTACTCTGGTTAGGTTGGAGAATGAAAATTATTAGCGGGGTGGCAGTGGCTCATATGATAGAGCGCCAGCTTTGACCCAAATAAGCTCAGGCACCCAGGCTCTGAGTTCAAGCCCCAGGAGCAGCAAAAAAAAAAAAAGAATTTCCACTGGTCTGGGATTACGGCTTAGTGGTAAAATGCTTGCCTAGCATGCATGAGGCTCTTCTAATTTCTCAGTACCACATAAGCAAAAGAAAAGATCACTAAATCAAATTAAAAGGGGATGGAGATGGGGAGTGAGAGGTGGAAGGTGGCTTAGTGGTAAAGTCCTTGCTTGCCTAGCATGCCTGAAGCCCTTGCTTGGTTAGATTCCTCAGCACCATATAAACAGAAAAAGCAGGGCTGGGAAGGTGGCTCAGTGGTAGAGCGCTTGCCTTGCATGCATTAAGCCCTGGGTTCGATTCCTCAGCACCACAGAAGCAAAAAAATCCAGAAGTGGCGCTGTGGCTCAAGTGGTAGAGTGCTAGCCTTGAGCTGAAGAGCTGAGGGACAGCGCCCAGGCCCAGAGTTCAGGCTCCACGACTGGCAAAAAAAAAAAAGCTTTAGAGAACAGAAAAAGCCAGAAGTGGTGCTGTGGCTCAAGTGGTAGAGTGCTAGCCTTGAGCAAAAGCAGCTCAGGTACAGTGTCCAGCACCTGAGTTCAAGCCCCAAGACTGGCAAAAAAAAAAAAAGGAGAAAGGAAGAAGAAAGGGAGAAGGGAGGGAGGAAAAGAGAGGAGGGAGGAGGAGGAAGGAGGGAGAAGGAAGCAATTACTAACACCCCCTAAACTTTATCAAGCCACAGAAGAGGAAGCCCAGAATATGAAATAAAAATACTACCAGTGGCCCCAAGGCTGATAGAGTTCCAAGCTAGCAATAACAGCAATGGCTCCAATGGTAATGAAGGTTAATCCACTATTTCCAGGAACCAGTAGCAGCAAAGGAAACAAATGCTCCCCTGTACTATAGTCTCCCTCAAAAGGCCTGAACAAAAGAGTAATACCCAAGCTTCTCAAGTTATGTTACCTTTACATAAAAACAAAAGGTCAAAACAGAAGAGACTTTCCTTCCCTCCTCTATTCTCAAAAGTAGCTTGCCTAGCATGTCCAAGGCTCTGGGTCTTCAGAAAAACTTCTTTAAAATAGTGTCCAATGAATTATGACTAACAGGTCAAATCTGGTCCATCATCTGTTTTTGTAGGCTAACTTCTACTGGAAGACAGCCATGCTGCTGTATTTATGTAGTCTGTGCCTGCTTCCTGGCAACACCAACACAGTTGAATAGCTGCAAAACCATATGGCCTGAGAGCTGAAAATATTTACAAAACGTTATCCAATGCTTTAGAAGAACATTATGTTTCTTAAAGTACAGTATATTTGAAAATTAAATCTAAGCAATTTTAAAAGATAGCTCACTCTTTAATTACGAAAAAAAATCAAACTGACAGGTAAAAGAATGGTTAGATCCACTCCTACTTAATTTAGCAAAATGGTATAGTTTCCTCTATTGAGAACCAGTTTATATATTAAGAAAAAAAAACTAAGAGACTTAGATGACAATTTTCTGAATTATCTGAAACAAAAATTTGAGACTTCTCATGTTGGGAGATGGAATTATAACTTGCAATATTTAACACTAATAGTATTCAACCAATCTGTCTATTAACTAAGAAAATATAAAACTCAGTCTAGTGCGCTTTCAGAATTCACTAATCTTCATGAACACACACTTTTTGAGGAAATAAGCTAAGGGGATGGAGGTACAGCTCAGTGATAAGCAAGACCTGCGAGCATGAGACCCTGAATTCAAGCCCCTGTACTGCCAAAAACAAACCAACAAACAATAGCTAACTACCAAACAGTAGAACTACTCATAATATAACCATGATTCCTGAGAGAAAAGTAGAAACAAATGCCTCATTAACTCAAATGCCATTACATTTTTTCAGTAATATAAATGAATGGCATTGGGGATGGTAGAGGTACAAAGATACAGTGACAATATTACTCATTAATGAAGAAAATTCTAAAAATTAGTCTCCTAAACGGGATGACAAAGATTTAAGCTATACAATTTAAGAAAAACCTGCTTACCTGCAAACAATTTGCTAATTACTGCCAACCATTTCCTGCTGTTATTTCCACTTGAAATTAATAAATAGAAGAAACAAACATGTAATTCAGATAACAGATGTACTGCACAAAAAATAATGGAAGTCTCCAATTAGCTCAGGGTGGTAAGATGACAAAAAGAAACATATTTTAAAGGACAAACAACAAACTAGGGAAAAATATTGTCCCAAAGACAATATGGCCACTGTGGTCTTTGTGGCCAGGTAAGACTTATTACAAGACAGAAAGACAGAACTTAAGGTAAGCCAGACAGGTAATGTAGAGAAGAGGGAAGAAAAAAAAAAAGGGTAGACTAAGAAATGAACTATCTTTAAGAGGCTTCCCAGGAAAATTTAGTTTACAAGTCTGAATAAAGGGCAAGGCCACACAGAGTTTAGCAACAGCTAGTCAGTTAAAGGCCAATTACAGCTGGTACTCTGCAAAGAAGGTAGTTTATACCTGATCCTATAGACCAGAGTTCATAATAGAAATGTTTCCTTTTTTGTTTGTCAGTGTGCCGATCCTGGGGTTTGAACTTAGGTTCTAGGCATTCTCCCTGGGCTTTTTGCTCAAAGCCAGTACTCTACTGCTTGAGCCACACTTCTACTTCTGGCTTTTTGCTATTTAATGGGAGGTAAGAGTCTCATGGGCTTTTTCTGCCTGAGCTAACTTCAAACCATAATCTTCAAAGCTCAGCCTCCTGAGTAGCCAAGATTATAGGTATGAGCCATCAGTGCTCAGCTGACATCTTTTTTTTTTTTTTTT